GTGTCTTTTACCTGTTGCCTGTCTTGCTCCCTACATGCCAAGGCTGCTTCCCGAGCTGTTTATGGGGCTGTGTTGGATTCTGGGACAAAGAGTCGCAGGTATAATTACTAAGAGAAGAAGCTCCTCAGGGAAACGCTGGAACCATCTGCCCCGAATAACAACAACACCGTCGCTCGGCGCTGTGCGAGCCCTCCTTCTCCCTCTGCCCCTTTGTTTCCCATGTGAGGCCAAAACATGGCGGCCGTCCCAGTGCAGACACACAGCACAGCGAAAAATGCGTTCAGAGGGTCACTCTACGTGCACAGTAATGCCGAGGGGAACGGAAGGTCTGCCACTCTCTTCCAGCAGCCAGCCTGGGGCGCAGGCGCCCCCAGCGAAGAAGACTGTGCCGAGGGGCTGTGGAACACACACGCCCCCTCTCCCAGATAGCCCTGCCTGCTCCTGCATCGTCCACACTCCAGAGCTGCGGGGAAGTCACACACGGCACGCGTAGCTTATTTTTTTTTTTCTGAAGAATTTTCTCACAAAGAGGTTTTGAATTCGAGTGCTTTTCCTTTCGTCAACGCAGCAGTTGAAGTGCTTCCTCTAGGCGCCCCTCCCCCCTCTCTTTCCTCCTCTCCCCACTCAGCGTGTGCCGATGTGCAATTAGCCATTCAAACAACCCAGCCCAGACAGGGGGTTTACTCAGCTGATCTGTGGGTCCTGAGGACTCTGCGAGGGACGCGGGCTCCCCACCAGCCTGCCCACGCCAGCTAGGCGGCACATGTCACCCCCCCATCTCCCCACTGGGGGAAAACACCCCTCCCCCTGACAGCCTACTGTTCGGGCAAAGCCGCTGTATCGATCGAAAAACTATACATTGACAGGTGAAAACACGATTGCTCCAGGCCTTTTCCCCCTCATCTTCCTTCACACCAGGTTTCACGACCGACGGCATCTCTGGTGTCTGTGACGGGATGTGAGCAATAATGAGGTCCAGGGCGCCCCCTGGAGGGCGGGGAACATGGGGCTGTTAAAGGAGGGCGGGCAGTCTGACTGGCCATTATTAAAGAAAATGACTCCCTGGGAGAGAAGAGGAAGAGGAGCTCTGGAAAACAGGAGCTGGGGTTCGAGCCTCTGTTAAACTCATTGGAGAAAACAAAAATAAGGTTCTCCAAAGACAACTATTGAGTGCTTACTTTTATTTTTTTTTTAAATGATTCGCGTTTCTATTGAGCAAGTTGGAATGTATATTTCTGTTATGCGCGAGTTCATACTGTTTTAGATGTCTGAGGTTGTAAAGCCCTGTCGTATGTATTCTTTTGCCATGAGTCAATAACATTCTCAAAAAATTACTTACAAATCTGAGATGCTTCCCCTGCTTGAAAAAAAGCAAGTATTTCCGAATGTATTTCATTGTGGTAATTCACAGAAACCCAGGGATCAGCAGGATGTGAGTGATTAAAATAAGTTATAAAAAATAAAAAGGTTGGAAAGTGTTGTGTTGTGGAGAGAGTGCAATATCTACTGCCTCGTTAACTTCATAATGACACAGTGATTACTGCAGACTAAAACAGCTCTTGCAGGAAAACGTTCTGATGATCAGCTGCAGGATATAGATCAAACAGGCTCACCAGGCTCAGTTTCTTCACAGCCCTGTCATATGTAGCAGAGACAGAAGGGGGCGCAAGCGAGACCCTGGATGCAAACATGACTGAGAGAGGGGCTGTCCTTCAAGTCTGAGGTGTCCAGCATTATTCTTGTCTTGGGCCAAAAAAAAACCAAAACACATAAACTGAAAGATGTTTCCTAGACTAGCGTGTAAGGAAAAGTGATCCATCATCTCATGATGGGGGCTTGCTTGTTAAAGGCAAGAGGAAGGACAGGACGTTGACTCCCTCAAAGTCACACTCTCACCACCTGCACACACCCCCTCATCATCACACTCTCACCACCTGCACACGCCCCCCTCATCATCATCACTCTCACCACCTGCACACACCCCCCTCATCATCACTCTCACCACCTGCACACACCCCCCTCATCATCA